AATCTTTTGTTTCATAATTGTTGAGCTTACTTCCATTTCGAGTGAAAGTGTTTGGTGAAGAGATTCGAAGATGGATTCCACCAGAAGACGACGGCGGAATTCTCTTGACCAGCTGTTGATTGGCTTTACTGGAACATTCATGCCCAAGGGGATCTCCTTCAATTCCAGAGCAAGGTATCATCGTCAGAACCTAATTCAAGCTAACGAGTCAAGAAAACTCGCCGGCAAATCCCTTAAAAGTGGTATGAATATTCTAAATCTGACCCCTTCGATGAAGTATAAAGTGATTTGGTTAGTTAATGTCATATGTCAACTTGAATGTCTGTGAGTGTGTATTTGTATGTGCATGTTTGTGTTCGTTTATGCTCAAAAGGACACACCATACCACATTTAAATGGACAATTAAGAAATTGCGATAGTGACGGTGTGATACGAGGATATAGGATTAGTAAATAGTCCCGAGCAGAAGGAGAGATATCAAAACTGTTTAGCTGAAAATTGGTCAAACGATCGACTTCATTCGTCTCTGTGACAGGTTGTAGCTGACGATGCCGACGAAATGTCTGGGAATGTACCAAGTTTACGATCCGACTCTGGAAATTTTGATGCGTACCATGGACTTGGGACAAGGTGCATTTCTCTAGGTCCTTCTGCCAATGTGAACAAGCTGCGAAATCAACGTCAAACAACTAGTTGATACATTTAACTTAAAATAAATCAAATTAAATTACATTAGATTTGTTAAAGTCATATAGTCGACCAGACATTTTGTGAAGAATATTCATATAAAGTTGCCTCTAATACCATTATTTTCGTGTATTGTTCTTGACGCTAATGAGACCACCAGCTGCATAAGAATATTTTTTGAGAAGGAAGACTAAGTAAGCTTCTTCGAAAACCAAGGGCCTTCTTATTTTAATGCTGGAAATTTCCCCCATCAGTTAATTATATTTATAATTTGTTAAAAATTTAGACCTTGTTTACTGTGACGAGTGACGGCTCGCCGCTGAGGGTGATATTTCTTAGTGACGATACTGACTAAAAGTCTGGGATGTATTCAGGAAACTCTTCGATTCTGGAAAGTAACATGACTATTATTGCAGAGAACTCAGGATTGGGTACGTTCTTTGAAATTTCTCCGATACCATGAACAGATTGTGAAAAATAGGCCATTATGTTATACTTAAAACCAGCATTCGCTGGTTAAACTTCGACAAAAATTCTTACTTCTTGAGCTTACTTCCATCTCGAGTGAAAGTGTTGGGTGAAGAGATTCGAAGGTCGGTTCCACCATAAGACGACGACCGATTCCTCTTGACCAGCTGTCGATTGGCTTTAATGGGAGATTCATGCAAAGCTGTTTTTGAGGCAATTTCTTTCGATTCCGGTGAAAAGGTGCTAAACTTTTGTCCGTCATATTACGGACATCAACGACCTTTGAATCTCTTCAACCAACACTTTCACTCGAAATGGAAAAATGCTCAATAATTATGAAACAAAAATTCCTCGAAACCCAACTTTTCTTCGCATAAGATGAATCAGCCGCCATCTTCTAGTGGAATCGAACTTCGAATCTCTTCACCAAACACTTTCACTTGAAATGGAAATAAGCTCAACATTTATGAAACAAGAGATTTCTCGAAACCTAACTTTTTAAGAATTCTTACGCTTAAAGTCTATAGATAATAGAGTTTGAGGCCTTACAACCTACAGTCTGAAGTTATGTAAGGTGATGAGTGGAAAAAAACTTGCATCTTCGCAAGTTCCTGCCACAGTCGGCCAAATTTTATCACAACGAGGTACAGATTGAAGGTAGATTAATGACTTGTGTGAAGGTTTGATGTTGCCAAATCTCCTCAACTCTCTTTGCAGTATTACTGACGCGGTTACCGACAACTTTCGAGGCTATGTTGAAGTATTCAGTGGTCCAAGAGGGCTGAAAAAAGAATGAGCGAGCTTTGGTTGCTTAAAAGTTTTTTTCGATAAAAGTGGCATTAGGCGGTGAGGTTCGGACAGAAGCGTTTTACCAAAATGGGATGATTAGGCCTAAGGATGACAATGAATTTCACTGGATTGCAATGCCAGTTTGTCCCCGTCTGGGTCTCAACAGCATTGCAAATGAGAATAGAAATGAGATAACATATCATCTCAGTCAAACCAACAAGAGTTGCGGTCCATTTTACGGCTTATCTGGCTTCTGTAGGTGACTATCAAGCTATGCTTGAGATGCATTCACTCGATTTCTTGAAAGCAATTAAGAATTGGTAGCTAAATTTTTCCACAATCCTATCAATTGGAATCAACATTACAGTGAATTTCACATAACAATGCTTCCCAAAAGGTGTGCCAAAGGAATAAGTTTAATTGAAATCTAAGATCTAATCATGACAATGTGGGAAAATTCAACTAACAGATCTTCATCATCATAACCAATTTCGGATGAATATCATCGCATATACATGATCTACTTATCAACTCTACTTTTTGATATCACATTTTTTTATGTTGATGACATTTCTTGGTACTGCCAGAGCTCCATTTCAGCCGGGGGTGTTGATGAAACCCAGACTTGGTCTAGCTGTAGTCCAGTCGAGCCTGGATGCGAATACATTTTGTAGAAAGGAAGGCTCTTTAAAATTCATTGGAAACTTGAGACCTATTCATCGGATTTGGTGAAAATTTACTATCAGTCCATGATCACATTATGCGAGTGATGGTCTCCAACGTCTATTCAGTTCGGTTATCGTATCTGGTTAGCATGTTTTGCTGTGAAGTGCAAAAAAATGATTAATAGCTGGTAGCTAAATTTTCCCAAAATGATATTCATTTACGCGGATTTTCACATAGCCTTGCTCCCCGAAGGATATTTTCCTCCAGGCAGAGGTGGATCGCAATTTCGACCTCGCCCCAACCGGCCTCAATAGACCCTCAGCGGGACTCGAACCATGACAATGCAGCGCATGAAGAGGAGCTGGGTTTTGAAGAATTCATTAATGGATTGACACTGGCGTATTGTTCATTTCGTTGGAGAAGGCGGCTCGAACGGATTCGTAGATTGGCGCCACCAGATACCAGTTCAACAGACAAAGCTCCATGGCAACCCTCTTTTGGTATCTGGTGCGGCCAATCCACGAGTCCGTTCTCAAATGAAGTGAAAGGTACGTCAGTATTACGCAAAATTGCCACGAGCGCGCCTGGTTCACGGGGCGGATGAGAATGTCAAGAAATTCTGTACATTTTCTCATCCAATCTTCTGTTATGGGAAAGTTATGTCAACTCTAACAATCGACTTGATTATTTATGTTTTTAGTTTATGAGTAGTCTCTTGAGATTATGAGTAGAGCACATATGCGAGATGTATTCATCCCACTTCGGTCCAGGTGATATCTTTTGGCAAGACAAGACTGTGTGAAATTCTATCCATGATTGTGGGAAGACTCAACCACTAGTGCCCTTATCACATTCCCCGAAATGGGATAAATGCATTGCATACAAATGACCTACTGCAAGTCTGGTATGAACAGTGGTCCGCTCTGATGATGTACATTGGTTGACGAACGAGAGATGTGAACCTCTTCACCGGCGCGTCATCAAGACGGTTCCAGCAAAGACCTTCCATGCCTTCATCATACACATACACAAAAACACAAACACACACACATAAACACACTTTGACATTTGAAATGGGGGTGAGGTGAACAAGTGCAAGCCGAACAAATCCTCGAAACCCCACTTTTTTCTCGGCACATACAAGGCCCATAAAACAGGCCTCTTCAGACTGACTCTTCTTTAATGCCTCTTGACGACGGCGCCATAATTGCAGCTTATAGACTCCACTTCGCAGACCAAAGCCTTGCAGGTCAGGCTGGAAGAGGCACAATTTAGAAAGTTGACTCCTTCTTCGCTCGCCATTATATGCACCGGCAGGTCGTTGCCATTGGAGACAGACGAAAGTAGAGAGTACATCATCAGCTTTGAGGTGAGCTGATTGCACTCTCCTTGGCCCCAGACTGTGTCACCAGCTCGGCTTCAAGTGATGAAATGAAGCTGATCTGTGCCGGACTGAATGAATGAATGAATGAATGAATCAATGAATGAATGAATGGCCAACATCACTTGCTACTTTCTCACTCACTCACTCACTCACTCACTCGCCCGCTCGGTCGCTCGCTCCTTCCTCCGTTCGTCCGTCCGTCTGTGTGTCCATCCGTCTGTACGTCGAGTCGACTGGCTTATTCTGTCGAGTTCTAACATGTGATCAGGTCGCCTGGATACGCAGTGACAACCGGAAATCAGAACTGCAATCTTGCCGGTTGATTGGTCGTCCGGCGCTCAGGCATGACGGACCGACCAGCTCGTCTGTCGAGGAGTCAGACGACACTTGGCATCCCCACCTCGTCCGACGCGACGACGCCCACGAGTCCGAGTCCCGCCGGCCCATCTGCCTCGCCTCGGCCTCGAAGACTGCAAACGCCACGACCGGTTGCCGGCTCGTTGAACCTCAACGGCAACAGCCCAAAACCGGTCTGGCGACGGAATTCCGAGACGGCCGAAGACGAGACGACGTCAGATCGGCGCCAGCCTCAGCGCATAAACGCTGGTGACGAGGAGTCGGTGGGAAATTTGGCCTTTTTTCATGTGCCTCTGATATACGATTGGCCAGTGCATGACAACGATAGGTGTCCTGGCAACCTGCTGTCTCGACAACTGAAGACGATATTCAACGATACGCACGGCCTCCTGCAGAATCCCGTCAACCCGAAATGGGCCAGCAAGAGCTTCACTTCACGTTCGCAAGTGGGCCCGTCTCGGCACAGACAAGGCCCACCTCGGCCCGAGTCGAGCAGAAGCCCACAACCCTACCACACTTCGTACACGGACGACTTCAAATGCGACTGGTACCCTCGAGTCTGGACTCCACGCACAACGTCACAGGCTGCGTCGAAGCTGCGATCGGAGAAGAAGTCGACAGAGTCCACTCTCACCGTAAAACAGACAGTACGTGCCTGCACGATAAAGAAATGAGAGTTGAGTTTTTTCACACAATCTCATCACGAGGCGTCACATCTTCCAAAAGGTGTTCTTATTTAGGCTAGACTTGACGGTCATTTCGTCTCTGCTCCACATACCCAACGGGAATCGAACCGTGATTTCGCTGGTGCCATGCGACTATACCGCATTTCCACGAGTGGTTCTGACTCACAGGCCAGAATTCAATTTCACGTAGCACATTTTTCTAGTGGCATTGTCTAAACAGACATGGCTAGGCTTCACCACAAAATTCGAACATATTACTTACAATCTAATTGAGTAGACTGCAGAACTATTAGTAGATATCGAACAAAAGTGTTTTTCTTTCGTTTTTCAAGTAGGGTCCCGAGACTACCACAAAAATCGACCGTATTACTTACAATATAATTGAGTAGACTGCACAACTATTAGTAGATATCAAACAAAAGTGTTTTTTTCGTTTCTCAAGTAGGTCCCCGAGACTACCACAAAAATCGACCGTATTACTTACAATCTAATTGAGTAGACTGCAGAACTATTAATAGATATCGAACAAAAGTGTTTTTTTTCGTTTCTCAAGTAGGGTCCCGAGACTACCATTTCGTTTGAGGTTATGAAGAACTGGCGGTTGAATTTTTGCACAATTAGCTGAGTATACCTTGCGTCGTCATTAAGTTTTACATGGCTTTGGTTGCCAAAAGTTTGTCTCATCAAGAGCCCTGACGGGACTCGAACTATGGGTGTGCAACGTATGATCTCGACGGGTTAACCACTACGCTACATTGCTACAAATTCTCTTGTTGCACAGGATAGATGTGAACTTTAAATATGCTTAAGCATTTTTCCTTATCACATTTTGTGGTGGAATTGTCGATGAAGCAGTCGAATATTCGCTATAGCAATCGACGAGATTATTTAATTTGCCTTCTCAAAGTAGGTTTACGAGAAATATCATATATCTAGTTTACTGGTAGTCTTAAAAACACACTTAAAATGCGGAAAATAAGAAATATCGTCGATTGATACAGGAAATACAATCCCGCCACATAATGTGCTAATGATAAAATGACTGGTCTTGCTTGAAATTCAACGTCATGGTTCGAGTTCCGCTGGGGAGGCTATTAGGGCCCGTACAGGTAAGGTCAAAACTCAAGACGAAATGAGAATTACTTTTTGGAATGCAAAGCTATGCAAATTTCGGTAGAAATGATTGTAGGAATATGTTAATACTGGCCATTCATCAACTTAAACGAAATAGAGTAAACACATCTTAAGGGTCACCATAGATCGCATATAGTTGAAGGCTCATCTTTAAAGTGTCCCAACATTATATGAATAATTTTGGCTCATTAAAAGTTTTTTAAGACTACCATTATATCATGTAAGATGTATTGGTGCTTTATTTCATTAAACTGATAAAGGACTGATAATTGAATTTTTATTGCAATCATATGAGTAGGCCCTGTTTTCATTGAAACTCCCCGAGGGCATTCCCATCCAGGCTTGACTGAATTTTCTACTTGGACGATTCATTTAATTGCCTTCCTTTCTTGGCGCAAATTGAAGTGTATTTTGGTAGCATTTAATGTGGCTACAGTTGTCGTATAACCATGGCATTCTTACTGAAATCACTTGTATCTTCATTTGTGCAATGTTGACGCATGTATATGCTTTCAAGTGAGCATGTGCTATATGCCTGCAAACCCCATTCATCTGGTAAACTGAGAGATTCTCAGCTTAACCTTATTTGATGAGGATGAGTTGAGGTCTGATATATGAACTTTTAACAATCACAGAAAAAGGTATCCTTTTTCAGGAAGGTTCGGGCTGTATGTTCCATCTCACATGAACTGGTCTCATTCACATCCACGACAGAACGTGAGACTCTTCCATGAGTGCCTCTGCATGAAGAAGTAGATTTGAACTTGGAGGGGTTTGTGATTAAATATTTTAGTAGATGGGACGACTAAAATGTTGTGACCACTGTTTTGATCGCAGACTCCTTTT